ATATTCCTGTATCTCTAACCCTTGAAATCTCACTTACTCTCTGAACTCTCTATGTTATTCATCCTGTCCTGTGGCTCTTAACATTGACACTTCCCTATATCAGTGCAGGAGATGGGTGAGCCGCTTCTTTGTCTGTAAAATGGAATAATAATCATCCACCTCATAGTGATGCTGTGAGGTTTAACATGCAAAGAATTTGGAGCAATGCCTGGTTACTCAAAAGTACATAACAATTTTAAGCTAAAAATGCTTCTGTGGCTGTTGTAATTAGACTATTTCATGCTGTGGTGTACCTGACGGAGCTGGAAGGAAATTGAGGAGGAAGACTGTCTCAAACAGCTGTGACTCTCCTCTGTGACCTGCATTAAGTGGGCTATTAGCAGGCATGTGGGACAGGACTCTCTCAGTCCAGTGGTCCATTCCTTAGCACCTAGGGACATGGAGTCCGAAGACTTAGACTGAATCTCTCCAATGGCCATTTCTGCAGGGAGAGGTCAGCAGCCAGCTGGTGATCTGGGCATGTGCCTGCATATTTGGAAATTGTGGATCCTTTCTGCACTCAAAGCCATCACGAACCCCAGCAAGAGACCCACATCCTTGGAAGAAAGTCACCCTCCAACTTACCGAGAAATAGACATTGCCATCAGGCAAGACTCCTCCAACAACCAGATCGGCTCCCACGAAGGTGTAGCCATTTGTGACTCCCAAGCCCACCCAGCCAGCTGTTCGGACCTGAAGCTCAAAAGTGATCATCTCAGCCTCAAGGTCAAAGTCCCAGCGCAGGAAAATGACATTGGAAGGATCTAGGAACCTGGAATAACGCAATCGAGAGGTGGGACCAAGGTGGTTGCCTCGGGAGGGGGCTGCCAGAACCATAAGTAGAAGGAGCCTGAAGAGAAGGTCACAGGCCATGGCTCTTGGGATCTGGAGCATTTCTGCTGCAGGTGAACACTCAATAAGTATGGACTTATATGTGCTTCCCCTGCTCTAGGCACCATGCCATAGGGGAGGGACAGACTGGGGTTCTGATCTGATCATCCCCTGGGCTCAGAGTGGTGCCACTTACATAACCCTGGAGGGAGGAGATGTCCAGAGAGGGTGCAGAGCAGGTTGCTCTTGCCCTGGACTGGGGACTTATTGTGAAATTCTCAGGAGTAAATCTTTTAGCCTCTTCCACCCAACCCCATGCCAGTGTCCTGCCAATGGGACCTTACAGGATCAAGGGAGGGTTAGTTCCTCTCCTCTTTTCTTTTCTCCTCTCCTCTCCTCCATCCCCTTTTCTCTCCCCATCCCTGGATCTTTGGATGTCCTTACTGAGCACTCTGTCCTCTGGCAAATGTCCCCCCACCCCAGTTTTCATGGGCATTTTCTATATATAGAAATGGGCATGAGCAGAGGTGTGGTGGGAATGCCTTTGAACCTGCCTCCCAGTCCAGCAGGAAGGAGAGAAGTTGTTGGGAGGGGGTTAGGGGAAGGCTATGATTTCCATCTCCTGTGGGAGTCTTTTGCTGCTAATCCCTGGAAGGACATGTGGAGGTGAAGGAGCCATAATCAGCTTTCAGGTGGGCGAGTCTGGGCAGCTTTGAGTTTTTGCACATTCCTGGGGAGGGGCAAGGAGGAGGAGGGGGAGGTGAGGGGAAGAAGAGGGAGAGAAAGGGGATAAGCGTGAACTTGCCTCTGAGAGGCTTTGTGCTTTATCTTTCCTCCCAGGAAACCTACAGGGACTTCCACTGGATGCTTGGTCCAGCATCCCCACTGGTATTGTGCAAATAATAAACGGCCAGAAAAAAATATTAGACTATTAGAACACAAGAGTAAAAAGTGATATTAGATCCACTAAATTTCCCAAAATTCCAATCCACTAAATTTTTAGATGAGGAAACAGAAACACCAAGGGTAACATGAATAATGTATGTGCCTGGTCACTGTCCAGGCAGAGCTACCAGGACACGGGGCCCTGCCTCCAGGCCAGTGCTCTCTTCAGCTGTCCCTTCAGTCACAGACACCCACAGGGCACCACCCCCCACCATACATTTCCACCATGGCTCGTCCTGGATGGAATTGGTGTCACCACTGACTGCTTCTTTGGGAGGGGACCAAATTCTCACCCTAACTCCAAAGTTCTTTCTTCCCAGGGTTGGACACAGGTGATCTGGAGCAGGAAACCACCTCATTGACCTCTTCACCTCCAGTGTCCTTCCCCCATTAGGCTCTTCCCCACAGGAATGCAGTTCAAACGAAGGTGGACAGGAGCTGGAACACCTGTTTATGCCTTCATTCAGAGCATGCATATTCTTCTTCTCCTCCCTCCTAGGAGGGCAACCATAATGCCCAACTGGGAGCATGGGAGAAGGTAGGCAGCTAGGCAGCCATCTGGAAGAAAGAGGCTTACCTTGGCCTACGTTGGGAGCCAGGCCAAAATCAGAGGAGGAGCTTGGGGAGGCAATAACCTTGAGGAGCAGGAATTCAGGGAGGAGATAACAGGAGTATCTGAGACACCACTGATCCCAATCACATTTGGGGATTAAGGCAATGGGAGGGGATGGCAGGGAGACAGGACAGCCAGCTCAGTAAACTGAGATGTGCCCAGGATCCCTTATCCTACAATCTGTCCAGCCCGGCCTCAGCACTGGCCTCAGGAGGAAGTAGAGTCATGGGAAAGAGCTGGAGTCAGCCATTGCAAGGCAGGAAATCTGTGTCTGGGCACCTTCTGGCTTTCCATGGGGCCTTTCTTTTCCTTTCCTCCTTTGTTCCCTAGTTACACTTTCCTCCCAGCCCCCTTTCCTTTTACCATCTAATCCCCAGAGAGACTTTCTCCACAGAGAGCTCAGAATTAAATGTACGTGTCTTGCTGGGGTGAGGACATCTCTCTTGGCCTGTGCATTTTACTGGTATTCAGGATATGTGATTTGGGCGCTGCTTCCTGGAGCTTCAACCCTTCCCATCTCTAGGGTAACGAGGTGGGAACCGGTAATGGAACAAAAAGCAAAAGTGAATCAGCACATGAGTATTTAGAAAGTACTAAATTGACTTTAAAAAGTGCAATTGACATTTTGTGCACAATTAGATTTGAAATAGGGTGATGCAAAAACAACAACAACAACAATGAAGTTACTTTATACACAAAATTGTACTAGTATAATGAAAATCTATTTTTTTAAATCAAGAGAAACACAATTTCAAAGTTAGCAAGACAAGTGAATTATAAATTGTATTATGCTGCCACCGAATGGATCCTTTGTTAAAATCATGGGAACCCTAGTGCATGTATTACAACTTCTGAAGATTAAAAAAAAAATTAGTGAATATGGGAGGTGCAAACCCTCAGGTGCCAGCCGCTGCTGGGCCCTGACGAGGGGGACTTCCAGGGACATGGGTCTGCAGAGTTGCCCTGCTCTAGTTCCCACCATCATTTATTGAGTGTCTGTGATGGGCAGACACCCACTTAGAACACTGACTAGAATATTGTGCAGTTTCAAGTCTTGAAATAGTAAGGTTCGACTGCTAAACCCCTCTGCTTCTCCATACTGTTGTCTGTAAAATGCTGAGGTTGGAGAGATGGTAGATATGGGGCCTTATTTTAAATCTAATTTGCCAGATCATTGGTTTCTAAACTTTCTAAAAAATGAGGCCTCGTAATGCTAAAAAGTTAGGAGAACTTGTGATTTTAATCTGTTGATTAAGTGATAGATGATTAGAGAAAGATAAAAACTACTATTAATTCTATTTTATTTGATTTTGAAATTTGCCATTGCATAAAAGTCCACTTTATAAAGTGTTTACTCTGTGCCAAGCTTTACTCTGAATTTTCCATATACTAATCCATTTATCTCTATGAAATAACTTTTGTTATTGTTTCCATTTTACAGATGGAGAAACTGAGGCCCAAAATTACACTGTTAGGTAATGGCAGCACTATGAATCATTGGGAAAATATAATTAAAGACAAAAATCTCCCAATTCAGAAAATCTCATCATAAAGACAGAAGAGAAAGAAAACACATTTATTATTGAATAAGCATTAAATCAGAAGGTGACACATCCCAGGCCTTTCTTTCAGAGATTGCCAAGAAAAGAAATCTTAGCCTTTTATATAGGCCAACAGACACCCTTACATACATGTTGTCAAGACAAGCAATGACTGGCCCTCAAATGAGAGGACTTGACAGGACCCTTTGCTAATCTGTAGTTCATCCTAGAGTCCCTCGGTAACCAGGATATCCCTCTGTGTTTGCTAATTGTCTTTATCCAAAGAAAAAATAAACTCGGCATATCTTTGCGACAGTTATTTGCAGCTTCGAGTGAGACGTCTGCTCTAAATTGAGTTTAGGCTCATTCTCTTTGATGGCTATATTTCAAAGAGATGCTTGCAGGTCTTTGAGAAAAGCATCTCTGGCTCTTGACCCTGGCAAGAATTGCTTAGCTTTGAAAAAGATTTACATATATTTCAAAGGGACTGAGAAAGAACTTACAAGTTTTCTAAAGTAAATGCTTTCAGAAAATGGAGGAGAGGGAAGTCTCTTTCGTTACTTTTAATCGGGAGAATTAAGCTCTGATGTTGAGTTTGTATTCCCCCTTACAGAGGGAAACACAGATAACTGGAGATAAGGTTCTTGTCTAAGGCCCAGTGTGGCCTTGCAGCAGCCTCTGCCCATATATGGGGGAGTTGAGAAGTCCTTGTTTAATCTCCAAGGTCCTTTGGTTGCACTGAAGTATTTTAATTCCTTGCAAAGATTTGAGGCACAGTTCAGAAGCACCATTTTAGGACACTCAGGGACATAGGAGGGAGTTCAGGGCCAGTGAGTAAAGACCCCCAGTGACCGTAGGGACGTGTGCATGCATGTGTGGGAGTGGGGGTTGGCACCAGATGTAGGAAACGCTCTCCAGTTTGAGGTTTGAACTTCAGTGAGAAGATGAGAAAGACGTTGTGTTTCCTGGAAAAGCCACTCCCTTTTGGGTTTTAGGTCCAGAGAGTGTCAGCCACTCTTTGCCCCCTTACAGGCCAGGGTCCTGTGCACCTGCCTGGCTGGCCCTGTCCCACCGCCCCCTGACCTACTGCCCTGTCAGAGAGGACCCTGGGGGCCAGGGAATGACATCACTTTCCCTTCTGTGGGGCTGGGTGCTCATGGCTGCCCTGAGAACAGGTCAGATACCAGGAGGAGAGAGCCACTCAGTGGGTTGAAAAGAGAGCTGGGTCACTGGGGCACCAGGAGGCACAGAAAGTTTTGCAGCTGGATCCCAGCCTTGCCCAGACACCCCCAGGCATAGCCTCTTGCCCTGAGAAAGTATCCTTTCTGTCCCCAGGGACCTCCTCTTCAGGATTTGCCTGTCCTAGTTATTTCTGGGGTGACCTTAACCCCCAGGACCTCCAGCCTGTCCTGTGTATTTCAGGTGCCAATGCGAGCTTGGTGGAGCAAAGACCCAGGTGGGCCCTGGTACGTCGGGGACAGGCTGAAACCCTGAGCTGCTTCCTGAGGGATGCCCAGTACCCCTGGATGAGCTGGTACCAACAGGATCTCCAGGGGCAACTCCAGGTGCTGGCCAGTCTGCGGTTTTCTGGGGACAAGGATGATGTATCCCTTCCTGGAGCGGATTACCAGGTCATCCGGGTCGATGACAAGGAGCTGAGGCTGCAGGTGGCCAATGTGACCCAGGGCAGAACCCTGTATTGCACCTGCAGCAAAGACACAGTGAGAAACCTTCCTTAGACAGATGAATAAAAACCACCCTCAGTTCCCACCCAGGGACCCAAGCTCTTCCTCCTCTGCCCGACAGCACCTCAAGCCTGCTTGTCCCCGCCCCAGATCCTCCTTTCCGGCCTCTTTACAGCTGGTGAACGCTGCCTGCCTGCATAGCACAGCGATGGACCACAGGTCTGGACCACCTGCAGACCGTGGCTTTGCCACCTGTGAGCTGTGGGGAAGACTGCATCTCCCTGAAAGGCAGTTTCTGTGTCTGTAAGTACAGAGAGCCACTCTACTCAGCTCAGAGGGCCTCTGCGAGGACGAATCGTAAGACACAGGTAGACAGGAAGCTCTAATTAGCATTAGCTCCAGCCCACAGAAAAACACATTGCATTTTATTACCAGTCTCAAGGCTCACAAGGGTGCTCGGCAAAGACCTGGAGGATTTTGGGAGCTCAGAAAAGGGGAAGAGGAATGTATCCATCTGTGGACCTGCCACTCACACCTCTGGAATAAGTAAACACCCACTTTTCCAATTAGATCCCCATTCTCAGTGCACACCACCACCTCAGCTCCTCACACTCCAATCTCAGCTTGATCTTTTTAAAAGTGAGATCCTAGAGAGGACCGCGATCTGGAATCCACCGTGGAGGGCTTACCCAATACTCACCTTTTAAAAAGCCATGGCTGAGAGCCGGGTCTGCACCTGGAGTCAGAGCAGTGCAGGGCTAGGAGGCCAGACCCCAGCAAACATCCCGGAACCACCGCTGGAAGGTGCATTATGGGAGAGGCCAGGTCCTGAGGCCTCTGCAAAGACAGGAGGCAGGCTGGGCTGTAGTAGCTGAGCCACTCTGCTTCTAGTTCGGAGCTGCTGCATCCCGAGTGAGCAGGTAGCAGGTGGGGTGCAGGCGGGAGTGAGTGAAGAGAAGGCATGTCAAAGGTACCTCAGTCTCTAAAGGAGGAATGGGTGGTTGTGGTGCCCAGGGGCTGCCAGGCACCCTTTCCTCAGCACTTGTATAGAGACAGGAGTTTTTTCCATCAGGGGGCGCCATTGGCCCACAGTTCTCCGAGCTCTGCACAGACAGGGGTCCTGTGATCAGTCACAGGTGTTGGTCCTCTCTCAGCCTCCTCTCAGGTGTGTGGTGAAAACCTGCTCGGCTCTAGAGGAAGGCAGTAATGGGAGGAGGCCTAGAGCCCAGCGCAGGGCCCAGCCCAGAGTCATAGAGACATTGTGATACCTGTGTCCTCTCAGTCCTCCAGGAAGGGTAGCCCTGTTTGAGAACATGGTCACTGGGAGGTCCCTGACCACCAAGACGATATTAAATACAGAGCAGATGGCAGGCCCTGGGCAACCAGCTTTTAAAGGTAAGTTGAGGCCCTCTGCTGGTAGCTTTTGAAACAACTGCATCCAGCGCCTTTGGCTGGAGTGATGGAAGCCCCCATTGATCTGATGGCTTCCCTTTTACCTCAGTCCCTGAGACCTACCCGGAGATTTCCCAGATGCAGTTCCGCTCACTTGTACCATAAACTGAGGTTAATACCATTGGCTAGGGCTAGGCCTTTGGTTCCATGGTACTTAAACTAGCCCTCCTAGACTGATGGATGCTAGGGGTTCAAACAATACTTTTTGTTGTTTTACTAACATACCTTTTAATGATTAAAATTTAATCCATTTGTTTTTGCTTTGTGATCCAATCAGAGAATGTTTTGTTTTAAAATTTTTATATATTTTTTCAGTTGGAATTGACATTTAATATTATATTTAACAAACAATACTTGCTTTGTGATTGAGTGGATTATGTTATTCCCTCAGTGAACTGAAAAGACTTCATTCACCTCGTTTACACATGGTTCTGTTTAATATATTGCTACCAACTGCATGTGTACTTCTGTGATATTAAAACCTCTCAGAGGGATGCCCTGAAGAAAATAAGAGAACAGAAATCTTCCCAGGAGACAGAAATTTAATCAACATATCTAGTTGCTCTCTTTCTTGAGGTCAAATGTATAAGCATTCCCTGGGAGTGGCAGGTGCTCGGAAGGAGCATGGTGGAGGAAATGCTTGGGAAAGGATTATGTAGTATGGATTTCCAGGGTCAGCTTGAGCAGGAGGATAATTGTATCCAATAGGAATTCTCACCAGAATGCTCTCACTTGCAAAGACTTTCATAATCAGATGGACAAGCTGGTCTGCTCTGAAATTCTGTCTCATTCTTCCAAGTGTGTTTCTTAATTGCTTTATAAACAAAGGGAACAATGGGACCACAAGGGACATATTCAGGGACTTCTTGCCAGGCTCACCTGGTTGCCACCACTGCTGAAGACCCCATTGGCCAGTGTCAGCGACCAACCTCAGCCCTGATCTATTACTGTACTCCAGGTATCCCACCAGCCAGGTGGTTGTAGGTGGGCCCCTTGCATTATGCTCTTTGTTCACACTGAAAATGACATATTCTAGATTTGGATTTTCTTTCCCTTGTCATCATCATTCCCAGCCCCACCATCCTTGAATAGTATATGTATTCCACAAAAAAAGGAATATATTTTTCAACTGAGGAAGCCACCTTACAATGATAGTGATCATACAGCAAGCTGATGCCCATGGAATTCAGTGCCCTTAACATATGCTTCATCATCTAGAATAATCTGAACTTATAAGACATCAGTATGACCTATTGAAATCTTAGCACCAGTTCAAGCTAGGAGAAATCTCTATTTGCCTGCAAAAACCATCTATTTCTACCAAAGCTAAAATTTCAGTTAATAACTTATACAAGGGTGAAGCTCTCACAATTGCACTTAATAATCCATATACAAAATGTTGCTTTTCAACAAGCTAGTCTTCACTGCTACAGAGGTTTTAGACAGAGAGGACAAGATTTACTAATGTAACTTCTTATGTCATAAGCCCCAATCAGGCTTTGTGTTAACCTTTCATGGCTCAAGTGCATATGCAGAATCCTGCCGAATGAAGAATCAGAATCTATGCCTGGTGTTGAGAGTTGGATGGACAAGGAGAAACAAATTATAATACCTCCCAGAGCCCCCCTCCTTAAGCCCTTTCCTCTGACCTGTACTTCTATTTAGCTCACTTCTTGTCAGACTTCCTTTTCCGAACTGGCATATGTAGGTTGCACATGATTAATTCAGTGCAAGTAGTAGGCATTTTGTCACCCCAATGGCTATAGAGTGGCTTTTTTTCTACAATAGGTCAATTGTTAGAGAGAACACCATCCCCATTTCATAAACTTTAACTGTCTTAAGGGGAACTGAGTTTGCCATCTTCATGGAAAGGGGAAGTAGAAGGGTTGTTGCATATAATCATAGTACAGGTATGTACAAGTCACCTCTGTTGGATAGAAATGAGACAGGTATGCAGGATGGAACCCAAGGAGTCTATTTAGATTTGCTTGTGAGGCTGGACATGGCTACAGGCTGTGTCAAAGTCCAGAATTTTTTCCTGCTGAGGGAGCTCAGTTGTTTCGGATTGTATTTTCAATCCAGGGTATGTAGTTAAAGATTCTGGTATAGATGCCAACATCAGCTCTCAAAACACATCCATCAGTAAAAGTGAGGATTCCTTGAAGTATCCCATTGCAGACTGCTGGGGCAGCTGTGACTTCCTGCCAGGAAAAAGGAAACTGGGTTATCTTTCTGGCAAAAGGCACCGGAACAAAATGGGAACAGGAAGGTATTGAGAGTAGCTTACCTTGCAGGGCCGCCTTCTTCCTGGCACAATGCCCAAGCACAGCATACTTTTTGTGATGTCATAGCTTTTATAAGCATTGCGGCAATTAGTCTTGGAGATAACAGAGATGTTCACATTCTGCAATGAATCAGGGTCCTTGGCTATAGGAAAGAGAGAAGTAAAACGTCCTCAGATACCAAACCTTCTCTTCTTTCCCTCCTCTTCAACATATTTCCTCTTCTCCCAGCAGAAAGAAAGAGAGGCCAAATACTGAGAGAAATCAGAACTGAGGCAGCTAGGACAACAGGAAAGTATCAGATTAACAATTTCTCATGATACAACTATCTCCTTACAAAATAGAATAAACTCTTGGAAGCTGATTTCTGCAATGAAATGAAGCAAATTACTTTAAAATTTTTCTGGAAAATTAAAGATTTAAAGAATGTCCTGTGAAATTAAGTTTTATTTATTTATTTAGCTTTCATATTTTTTATTCGTCCCATATTTTACATTTATCACTGACTCCTTTTTAATTTATTAAAATATATTTGACTTGCAATGTTGTGCACATTTAAGGTGTACATGTTGATTTGATACGTTTATGTAGGTAATATGATTGCCATTGTAGCAATAGTTAGACTCAGTACCACGTCACGTAATTATAATTTTTTTTGTGGTGGGAATAATTAAGATCTAGTCTCTTAGCAAGTTGGGTTATAATACAGTATTGTTGTTTATAGTCATAGCTATGAACAGTTGATAGAATTTGCATGAAAATTTTGGAATGGGATAGGCAGTAGACAGGCACAAAACTTAGACAAGAGAAAGCTGTATTAACATACTCAAAGTTGTGTGTGTGTGTGTGTGTGTGTGTGTGTTTAATGGAATCTGAAAAGTGTGACATAGAAGAAAGTTGAGTTAATGTAGTTCAGTGGCTTCAAATTACATATAGAGACTTTTACTGGTAAAATCATGAGAGTCACTTTTTAATTTGCTGAATACATGAGAGAATGTTCAGAATATCACCAGTTCAAAATGTTTCAGAAATATTTTTCTTAAACTTTTCATTATTTATGTCTATCACAATCTTGCATAAGGAAGGTCTGCCTGATTAAGCAAAATATCATGTATGCACCTTATGTTTAATACATAAGTATTATTTCATGATATTTAAAGATAATTTTCTTGATTGCCTGGAATAGTTGAAAACATCTAATACAGGTTGTGCCACATTTTAGAGTTAAGAAAATTGAGGGTCCATGGGAAAGTGGCCCATTATCACACAGCAAAATAGGACCAGAATACAAATGTCTTCTTTCTACCAACACCACTTCTA